TTGTTTGAATTTTAAACACAAACCAAACAATCCAAGTCAGTCTGAATAAAATTATACTTCTGAACCATCATGGGCAGTTTTTATGAAAAATGGCAGAGGTGATTTTTTATAGGACTCAGAAAATTTAATGGTGAAGGTAATAAAACAAGTTCAAACCAACCTTTTCTGAGTGCCATGCATGATCAGTAACAAAATAATATACTCAATTATTCATGCACCATGTGCAGTGTCACTGGTCACTTCAATAGAACAGCAATCCCTACTCAGCTATGGGGGGCTGCTTTCCTGAAAATCACACTGACTGGAAAATTCATAGCTGGCAAGACCACAAAGCCTTATCAGAAACTGAAAGTTTTGGGTATGGTGACTCAGTGATAACACTAATCAAAACCAATCCAAGTTGCCTTTTCCTTCACTATATATATATATATATAATAAAACAAAAAAATAAAATAAAATAAAGACAAATTACAATAAAACTGCTGGAAGACATAAACATGGTTTCAAATGTCATTACAACCCTACAGCAAGTAAACGTTGATCTCTTGGTGTGAACTATTTTCTGCGAGTACATAAAAATAAATACCATGCTGGAAAAACTAGATATGCCACTTCTACAGTTGGCAAGGATTTCTGCACTACAAAATAAAGAATACACCGTTTCAGACTCTACCAGAAACTGCCTTTCCTGCATACAAGATCTGATTCACTTATAACCCAAAGACTGAAGCAACAGGTTCTTCCAAAATGCTGGTACCTACCTACCCGACTACATGGCAACAAATCTCAAGAAAACATGTTCTGGATTAGTCTTCCTTTACATTTACAGTCCATTAATTGTAAATCTGGCAGCATTTTAATTTGTTAAGAATTTTGTGATATTTGATATCATTACTTTTAGGGTAGAAAATCGTTTTATTAAGGTTTATCTTCCTTTGGAATTAAAACAGCCTATAACAAAATACATTTCCTGAATTAATCTTTTCAATGTCTCTTCAGTTTTAACTGGCTGATCTTTGTTATTTACAGAATAGCAAATTTCACCAATCACAAACTTTATACAGTATTAAAGAACCTGTAGACACACATGGAAGAAAGAACTCTCACAGGCTGTCCCCCCACAAACAGATGACACAAAATGTCTGAAAGGATGGGAATTCAACTGGTGGTGAAAATTCAGACTGTGATGTTGAGTCATGAATTGTGAGATAGACATCATAACCCAGAAGACCACAATCTAAAACTGGAATATTATTATTTTTAGCCTACTTTCCTGATTTTTAAAAAATAAAAGGAGGCTTATGAGATCAATTCAGACTGTGATGTTGAGTCATGAATTGTGAGATAGACATCATAACCCAGAAGACCACAATCTAAAACTGGAATATTATTATTTTTAGCCTACTTTCCTGATTTTTAAAAAATAAAAGGAGGCTTATGAGATCAATTCAGACTGTGATGTTGAGTCATGAATTGTGAGATAGACATCATAACCCAGAAGACCACAATCTAAAACTGGAATATTATTATTTTTAGCCTACTTTCCTGATTTTTAAAAAATAAAAGGAGGCTTATGAGATCAATTCAGACTGTGATGTTGAGTCATGAATTGTGAGATAGACATCATAACCCAGAAGACCACAATCTAAAACTGGAATATTATTATTTTTAGCCTACTTTCCTGATTTTTAAAAAATAAAAGGAGGCTTATGAGATCAATTGCTGTATATCTGTGTAGTTAGTTATTGGAGAGGGTGGGTTTCCCCATGCAATGAGACCTGTATTGGTCCATTGTGCTTCCCTCTATGATTTCTACCAGTCTCTATATCCTACCGGTACTGGTGCTTACCATCAGTCCCGCCCAGCCAGCCAGCGAGTATATCTGTGTATTCCCCAAACTTTTTAATTTTCTATGAGGTCCATGTCATATCAAAGTAAAAGGAGACAAGGACAGAAGTTCATCATAAAGCTTAATTTCACACATTGCATTTATCACATGAAAGGTTCTTTAGTGACATTTCACTGCATGTTAAGCATTACAGAGGAATAAAAAGGCCAAGGTTATCTGTAATATATTTAAACTTTATGTATGAGTGATTACAAAATTCAGTTCTACAGTAACTGCTGAGTGGCACTAAAGTGCCATGTCATATAAACCTGTCCAAGAGCCTTCTTGTGAATAGCACATACATAATTTAAAATAGATTACACAATGATAATATTTTATTTTAACTTCCACGTCTTGTAATGTTCATGTCTCACAATCCGGAATGTGGGACAGCACCAAACTATTAAAGCAGTTTCTTGCTCAGTGAAGGTGATCAATTTTCTGTAATCAGTGACATACTTAACTATTGAGACATCTTTTAGTCCATTAACCCTTTACTCCTCCAAACACAGCAGAACAGTAAAACTGAAAGGACCCCGCCTCTTCTGATGTAGTAAACACAACTCCAATATCAAAGCCAAACCAAAGCCACGGCACTGTCTTGCATCATGTCCATATATGTGTTGAGTTACAGGAACCAATATATTCCTAAGATGCTCCAGCTGTACTAGTTAGGCAGTAAGACAAAGCTCATGGATTTTATTATTATTGCCCTCTGTCACACCTGTTCATAACATTTCATCTGATTATTGAAAACGATTACCTTTATCTCTTCCTTCATGACAAGTTTTATATATGGCTTATCCAAGAAACTATTGCCAGAAACTCACTCACTCATGGAACAGAGCCCTTCTTGAGAAGCCACCAATTGTGCAGCTACTCAAGAACTCCCCAGAAGTTTATGGAACCTGAATGTTCATTACCGTGTTCACAAGAGCCTTCCACTGGTCCCTATCCTGAGCCAGATCAAGCCAATCCATATCATCCCATCCTATCTCTCTATGATCCATTTTAATACTGTCCACCAACCTACACCTTGGTCTTCCCAGTGGTCTCTTTCCTTCTGTCTTTCCCATCAATATCCTACATGCATTCCTCTTCTCCCCCCCTTGACATCCTGACTGCCAGAAACACAGACCTGATTCAAATTGAGTAGTTAGGCTATGGAATGTCAAGCCTTTGTTGGTGTATGATTTATGTGGATTTGAGTGCAACACCTGTAATAAATCATTAATATCAAGGACACACTGAAGTATGCTATGCCAGTTGAATCCATATGCCTCATATATAATTTAATAGAGATTTTTAATTCTTTCATTAACGCCAGGCAAACACATGTTCAGTTACCCCTAAGATATCGGAAGGTTCTTAAGGCAGATAGCAGACTCAGAAAGGGTCTGTGCTGATGTAGCAAACAGATGAAGGCTTGGTTTATAAAACACCTGGAGTAGTATGAACATAACAGTACTTTCCTAAACTCTAAAAATGTTCAGAATTACTGGGGTTTTGGATGCCATCTTCAGAACCCTTTAGAATCTACTCTAAAAATGCTGTTAGTTAGGACTAAGGAGACATAAATTTATCACTGCCAGTATGAAAGTACAAATGTTTCCCAGGAGTACTCAATACACCAGGCGTCCAGATGTGGAGATGGACAACTTGTCATTTAAAACTGACAGTTCGGGGTCCATGGTGATTGGATTGCACACGGTTCACATATCCACCCATATAATGTCAATGAACCAATTAGAAAGTAGTGTGAGTTTGAGTGATGCAAGGTCTACATATTTTAAATTAAGATAAAATTAAGTCATGAGGCAGTCAGTCATATGTCAGTGGTTGGGGTCAGAGACACATTAGTATCAGCTGTTTCTCAAACATTTGTGATATATTCTAAGAGTGCAACTTGCGCAAACTAAACAATGTATCTCTTCCAGTAAACAGTTTAGACCATACTTGTTATATGCATAATTAACCACCATTAATTTACAATAACAAGCAAGTAAGTAAGTGTTCTTCTAATGAAGACCTGCTTTATTCAGTTACATGACTAGTAGTCTCCTGTTCCCAATTTATTGCCAATACAAATATGCTGAGATTGTGTCAAGTGTTCTACATGCAAGCTGAGTAACCACAACACACAAAGGAAGGGAAGGACTAAATAAGACATCATCTCTTGGTGTACAAAAATTAACACCCATCATACCTTCTCCTCACCCAACATTGGTATCCCACAAACCCAACATATGGAAGGACAAAGCTGTGTGATCTGTTAATGCCCTATTCTAGGGACAACTCTTAACAATATGAAGAACTTGCACCTCAATGATGAAAAGAATATGGCAGTAAAGGATTATGAAAAATGTGATGTTCTTTACAAAGTATGACAAATAGGACCAAGCTAAAAGGAAGTTTACAACACAGGGCATGACTTGGCAGTGGACAAGTCATTGGTTGATTTCATGGGTTATTACCCATTGTAACATTCAGCTAGGCAAAAGACAGATAAGAAATGAAAACATTTATTAGGAAAGCAAATAGTTCTTGATGTTGTGCGAGGATTACACTGGAAAAAATCACCAAATACATTTTGACATTCTCACAAAACTGATGATGCTTTCGGGGGCACGGGGGTCTGTAGGACAGCCCAAGCTGTAAGAAATGATTTTCCAAGAGTTCTAGAATCATGCTTCACTAGAACTGAAGGGGGATGAATGCAGAACAGCAATGAGGATGTTGCTACTGTACTAATTTTCATCAATTCAGATCCTCTCACTCATGTTATGGTGACCACAGGAAATGGTAGGGAATGAATTTATATTCCTTGCCTAAAACCTATCATAAAATACACAAGGAGGATGGGAGATGCTCATTTTGCAGACCAAGACAGAATACAGTGCAGCCGAATTTTATGCTAATTTGAAATAGCGTGATATAAAGATGTTAATAAAGTCTCACTTTATGTACAGTTTGAAATAATGTGAATCCAAATCAATTCAGCCAGAATCACATATGTGTTTCAAAACTTGTCCTGAATTATGTTGCGGTATTCAGGAACGCACCCTTGCATAAAATATAACCACTCTGTATTGTGGACTCTGGTGGATATCCAAGTGGTGGAAATATGTTTTATTCTGAATGTAGCAATAGCGAACAGTTTTACTTTCTATGACAAAGTCAACAAAAATGCATGCATATCATGTCACAACGCACAAATCCAGTATAAGCTTAATAAGTTGGTGAGGGGAATTTTCATCACTTTAAGACAGTGAAGAGAAACAAGTGAAGTTAGCCATGAGGTACACATCATTCAAAACACTTCACAGCCCCCAAAAAGTTGTGCCAAGTGCATGAAAAGAAAGTGAAAACCCCATGGAGGTGTGGGAGTTGTAGCCTACACATGTAAACAATATGGTCTGTTGTTATGCCATGTTAACTGCTTCCTCACTTTATCATCCAATAAAATTGGAAAGAATGTACTCCACAATGTAGTATAAATAATTCCCACTAACATTCTTTTCAGTTTATTAAGCTTATTTGTGATTGGTTTATAAATGACACTTCAGCAAAACACAAAATGTATTACACAGAATGAGCATACGTCATATTTCAACAGCATGACATTACACAACATGGAATTATGATATGATATCTGCAAAACAGTTTACGGGCTACATGGAAACATCCATTAATTGCCTTACATGAAGTAGGCTTTACAGTTGTCCAATATGGGTAAAATTCAAAATGGTTGATTAACATTATTCACAGATCTTTCATTTTAAATAAAACAAATTTTTATTAATAGTTTTTAACATATATATGAAAAAATTAATTTTTGAATTTATGTAAAGTAGGCTTTGTAAATGATTAATATGCCTACAAATGAAAATGACCCATACGTCTCTCATCGAATGTTACCATAATTTAGAAATGGCTTATAATATGAAAGCCTAAAAGGGAAGTGCAAAACTGAAGAAAGTAAATTGTAAAAACAACAACAAAAAATAGCATCTTAGTAACATGCCATATATGTTTCACAGTGAAATAATTTCATGTTTTTCAGATACTGTGATTGTGTACAGCAGCGCTCTCCCATATATATGTCATTCAAATTTAAATATCCCCCCACCACAAAAATGATTTGATAGCACCATTCATTAGTGTTTTAAATAGAATGGGCAAAGGGTTAATACTGTGACATATCTGATACCCACTGAATCTGAAAGAATCTAATGTCTTCAGTCATAAACAAATACAAACTCAAATTGTTTGCATTCATGATGGTGCAAGTAACTTCTCAATTAAACCACATTCCTTTCCTACATAGAGTTCACATATGCTACACATGAACATCATTTTATGGCCGAACATCTCTTCAGCATCCTTCACTGCAAAACATAACCTGTATGAAACAGAAAATGTAAAAATACTAAACTTCTGAGAAGTCATATAACAATGGGGCAAACATGCAGGATCACAAAGTTTTGTCTAACATACTGGTGTGATATGCACAAAAATACTATGATTTATCATGAAAGGAGAACCAGCTAAGGAAGGACACTGATAAAAGGATTTATAAATGCATCATTTCCAAGAACAAAAAGAATGGAGCAACGTGAAATATCCAGCTTTCTATTTAATGTGCTTAGCACTATTTATGGACCTCTTACATGGATACCTTTTTTATACTTCCCACTATTACAATATTGAAATTACGTAAGCCTAGTAATACCAATATTACATCGATGCATTAAGGCTGGTCCCATGGAAAACAACCAGTACCTCCCAATAAAAGATCATCAAGGTGCAGGACCATGTATCTGCAGCACCAAAGTACAGCAGATAATGTTTTCTGAAAGTACACCATCACATAATCATATTGAATTTGAAGGCATGATCTGAGATAGAAGACCTTCCCATATGACATTTGACAGAAAGTGTGACTATCTTCATCTACATAAAAATATTCAATTAAAAAAATTGTAGAAGTAGTACTATTATTAGTAGTGGTGGTGGTGGTGGTGGTGGCGGTGGCGCGCGGCAGTAGTAGTAGTAGCAGTGGTGGTGATGGCGGTGGCGGTGGTGGTGATGGTGGTAACTTGTAGCTACCACCACTGGAAATTCCTCCACATACTTATAATTGGTAAATTATTCTAAAATTATCAGCTTCATGTTACGTACAACCAGTTGTCCACAACACAAACCTAAGGTACCAAGAGGCAATGGTGAATTGTTCACAAACTCTGTAACTGCTCACCCAGCTACTCCAGACATCATTGCACTCCATTGTTACTGCAGACCACTTCAACTAAACCTTGCTTTCTTAGCTTCGGGTGGTCGAAGTTCTTCTTCTTTCAGCTGTAATCCAAGTTCTCTGCAGCGCTTCTCAAAGTAACGACCAAGCCGCACACCAGCTCTGCAAACAATCAATTCCTGTTGTAATAATAAATACTAATGAACTTTAAAACATTTCAAATATTGCATAAATAATTATTCTAATATACACCTTCGCCTTTGAATTTAATCCAGTAACCATTCATGACAAACTTAGCAATACCTGCATATCCTTGTAACTGCACTCCTTAAAAGTTGTCCCTGTGCTTAACTAATTAAGCATTATGCCATGAACGAGTATATGGGGGAGTGGATATAGAGATCCACATTTTCTTGACCTTGTCACTAGCTGAAGGTGAGTGGTCAGCTTCATGCCCCTGCCACTTTACCCCTGGAGGAAGGGCTCCCAGTTCCCACTAAATAGGAGGCTGCGTGGGCCCCAGAGCTGGTCTGGATGACATGGAGAAGAGAAAATTCTTGACCCTATCAGGACTCAAACTCTGAACCCTTGGTCATCCAGCCTGTAGCCAATCACTATACTGACTACAATATCCTGGCTCCTAACTATTAATTTTACATTTAACTTGCATTACGCTCTCATTCTTTCTCTAAGTCACTCAGTTCCTCCATACTTAGACAGTGCTATTTATGTTTTAAATTATGTACGAGGAAGAGTTTAACCCCCAGATTTTCTTAAGATCAGGGAACTGGCATCCTGAAGTACATCTGACTTGGATACACATCTGCTGCATGACCACCCTTCCCTTCATTAAGAAGTTCATATTCAGCTACTGTGTCCTGATCTTAGCACTACAAAATAATTAACTCATTAATCCAGTTTTGGAACTTTTGTGCCATCTATGTGCAATGTTGTTCACTATTCGCATTCCTTTACTGGACACTTGGCTGTGCCATAGCTCAAGTGGTTAGTCACTGACTTCCCACCACAACAGCCTGGGTCTGGTCACATGGGATTTGTGGTGGACAAAGTGGCGCTGGGGCAGGTTTTCTCTGAGTACTTTGGTTTCCCCTGGCAATCTTCATTCCACAGTCACCATCATCTATCATATGGGGCTGGTACAATAGGCCAGTAGTGGCTGCAGTACAAGTGGACTCAGTCTTACCCAAACTAAGAATAAAAAAAAATTATTGGACACTACATGTTTCGGCCTAACTGGCCATCTTCAGATGTACAGGTTGTTATGGTTAAGGATTCTGCTGCTCACTGTAATGCAGTTTTCTTTCTTCCTGTTGAAGTGGCCTCTGGTTATTTTGGTTATGTGGGTTACAATCAGTTTTATTTGGGTGTCCTTGGGTTGCACATGGTAGGTTTTGGTTTGTTGGTCATGGCTGCCTTGAATGTTCTTGCTGGGGTGCATGTGATTGCTTTTCATTCTGTTTGGTTTGTTGGTTGTGGCTGCCTTGAATGATTTTGCAGAGGCAGGAGTTCTCTTGTGTGCTGGTCCCACCCCAGCAAGAACTTTCAAGGCAGCCATGACCAACAAACCAAAACCTACCATGTGCAACCCAAGGACACCCAAATAAAACTGATGGTAACCCACATAACCAAAATAACCACAGGCAACTACAACAGGAGGAAGAAAAAAAAAACGCATTGCAGTGAGCAGCAGAATGCTTAACCATAACAACCTGTACATCTCAAGATGGCCAGTTAGGCTGAAACATTGAAACATGTAGTGTCCAATAAAGGAATACGAAGAAAGAATAGTGACCGACATTGCATATAGACGGCATAAAACTTCCAAAAGTCAGATATATACAGAGCAACAGGATGGAAATATCCGTTACTCAGGCTATGTTCTGCTTATGATCTATAGCATATATGACAAGATTTTTCTTCAAGTACTGAACAATGAAGATTCTCTAGATAATAAATGTGCAAATGGAATACTAATAATTACCAGGGGGCACTCAACTGAATACTGAATACAGTAACTGCTTTATAAGACACAATGGACTTGGGGGAGTGGAGGGCTTACTGTGACTATCTATATAAATAAAAATGTAAATGTTCGTTTGTTCAGGATCCTAAATCTCCGAAAGTTCTTCACCGATTGCTTCGAAATTTTGACACAACGTTGCATTTGAATGCACGCGTTTTTATATACCTATTATACAGATGTCACACCTGTGAAAAACAGAATTGGAATTTGGAATTCAGAAGAGTCACCCCCATGGAAACGCTAGAACAGACCGTTGCATAGGAAGTAACAATAGCGATACTGTATCGAATCTCCACGGTTACGATGAATACACGGAGCGTTCCTACAGAGACAATGCAATAACAATGGGTCGTTGCGTAGGAATCGCGGAATCAACAAAGCAGCATTTCCGCGGTTATGACAAAGGCTCATTTGCATAGCAGCGGCCTAGGGTATAAAAGGGGGTTGAATTCATTTGCCCAGTCAGTCTTGGAACAGCTGCCGTTGAAGAAGGTTGGAACCTAGACGCCAAGAGATACCGAAGTATTAGCTGAGAGATTGTGTAACCAGTGACTCTAATACTGCAAGTGGCGATAATTGTAAAGCGTGCAAGTGAATTACAATAAAGATTCGCTATAATTAATACGGCGTACAGTTATCTGTAGTGTGACATACCCAAACACGCTACATGCATTACTGACTCGTGCAACACGTCACATCCACAACAAATTCGTGCATTATTTGCAATCATATTGACCGCCTGCTCTCCTTCATCTCCAACAGAGTTATGGGAGAAATATAAATTGCACATGACTGAAGATATTTTCCGTCGAATACGCAAGGAAAATTCCAATATGAACATGGATTTCACAGCAGAAATCTGCAACGAAGCGTTGATAATGATTGAAGATTTGTGCTTAGAAATCGTGAACAAAGTTCTCAATCAATTGGAAACGCCATCACTGAATTGATCTGCTGCTGCTTCGTTCAATGTAGAACTGCGTCGTGAACAAAATTACAACACAGGTGATCTTTTGTCATATGTGCAATCAAATATTCCTAAGCTAACACTTGAGCAAAAAGGCATTTACGATCAAATAATGCAAACTGTCAATAATGGGGTTGCAGAATTCTTCTTCTTAGATGCACCAGGAGGAACTGGTAAAACGTTCCTAATTAGATTGATTCTGGCAGCAATTTGATCCCAAAATCACATAGCCTTAGCTCTTGCGTCGTCCTGAATAGCTGCGACATTGCTACCGGGTGGAAGAACTGCTCATTCTGCTTTGAAATTGCCACTGAACATGCAATTCACTGAAACTCCCACGTGCAACATTTCCAAAGGATCAAGCATGGGAAGGGTATTGCAGAAATGCAAACTTATTGTTTGGGATGAATGCACAATGGCGCACAAAAAATTGCTCGAGGCTCTTCATCGATCATTGCAAGATTTGCGTGGAAACATCAGACCATTTGGGAATGCATTAATATTGCTTGCAGGAGATTTCAGGCAAACATTACCTGTAATTCCTCGATCGACACCAGCGGACGAAATAAATACTTGCCTGAAATACTCTACTTTGTGGCGACACGTAAAGACATTAAAATTAACTACAAATATGTGTGTTCAGCTGCAAAACGATTGATCAGCTGAGATATTCTCACATAAATTGCTGGAAATTGGGAACAGAAAGGTGCCGGTTGATCTGACCTCAGGACGAATTTTGTTGCCTCATAACTTCTGCAATTTAGTGATGTCAAAAGAAGAATTGGCTGAAAAAGTATTTCCCAATATTCAAACCAATTATAAGAATCAACGATTGGCTGAGTGAACAAGCTATTCTTGCTGCCAAGAACAAAGACGTCTACGAACTTAACAATATCATTCAGTCTAACATTCACTGCGAGGTAGTCACATACATTTATAATAAATCTGGAAGATCAAGGAACCACAAAATACAATTTTAAAGTTGGTAGGTCCAAATTAATTTTCTGGATACAGCAGTTTCAAAGCCTCAGAAATGTAAAGGCCTGTTGACAGCAAACCATAGCCAGCAGCATTCTCAAGACTTCTCCACCCATTACACTGTCGCTTGTAGTGTGTGAGCTGTCAACTCAAGGGATGACTGGTATTAGGCAAATGGTCGGAGTATAAAACTTACTACAGTTTTCAATTAAGTTTTCTGTTATTTTTTGGCCCATTTTCCTTTACTATTGCTCTTCTATGAAATCATATTCTTAATTAATAATGTTCATAACTCAAATTAAACAAGGACTTCAAACTACTCATAAACATAACATTCTGGCAGTAAATAATAATACATTGTACTGTCATATTTTTTATATAATATGAATAAATTATTCAGAGTGTATTACTAAAAAATTAAAGAACGCTGGATGATTTTGCCTCATAGCTTACTTATATTCTTGAGCATCCACTTGATTATACATCTGACAGTTCTCGAACACCAGGAGAGCATCAGCAATGAACTCACTGTTGTTTCTGTACTCCAACATGTTTAATTTGTACTTCATTTTCCCAAAGTCCATTGGCCTCTTTATAATTAGATGATAATCAGGAACCTGTAACAGAAAAACAGATGTCAGTGCTACAGCAATCTATTAATGTTGTGACATACTTCAACTGGGTAATCTAAAAGAAGTCAGAGTTTTCAGAAGAACATGAGTATGCAGCAATTCAAAAATCACAAGGCCCTAGTTTACTTCCTGAGGGTGTGATGTTATGCAGTCAGTACTGAGTATCAATTATTCCATCTACACAACTATATTAATAACCTTATCTTACAGCATTATGACATAAACAATAGTATTAAATTGTGTTCTTTTGGATTGCAGTTCACTTAGTACTGACACCATGTAATCTAGTAAGTGGTTACATAACACCTCCATCTTCATGGCAGAAGTGATTTACAGATTGTGTAATGTTGCCTCTATACAGATATTACCTACATAAGATCAAGTATCCACAGTGATGAAGATCTAGATTTGGTTTCCACCCTAAACATGGAGGCAGCAATTTCCTCCCAAATGTTGGTAACCACCTGTCAAATTACAAGGTGTGACAATTTATATCCCGGAATGGCCTTGTGAAAGCAAAATTTGCTCACCTGTGCACTAGTGGCTGCTGTCGTCTTCAAAATACTCTCCTTTTGAAGCTATGCACTTCGTGAGATGAGGGTGCCACTGCCAGAAAGTCTCTAAAACCATTTTCCAAAATACCTTGCAGTAACATTGTCATATTGTAATATTGTCAGGAATGTCAGCAAATCTTTATTCCTCCATGGCATTTTTTAATTTTGGTAAGAGCCAAAAATCACAGGGGGCTAAGTCACATGAATAAGGTGGACAGTCCATTTCTGTAATGGATTTCTTAGCCACAAACTCGCGAAATATTAACGCATCAATTGCAAGGGTACTGTCATGTTAGAGAATCCACTTGTCAGGCCAGAGTTCAGGTACTTTCCTCAGAACAGATTCCTGTAACCTTGTTATCACTTCCAAATAACACTCCTGATTCACCGTCTGTCCTTGTGCAATGAATTCATAGCGAACTGTCCCCTTGTGCTCAAAGAAACACACAAGCATAGTCTTCAACTGCAAGTGGTACACACATGCTTTATCGGCTGAGCTGAATTCTGTTTTTTCCACTGCATGCTCTGGCATTTTGTTTCCAGGTTGTATTGAAAACACCACGTTTCATCACCAGTAATAACCCTATGAAACATCTCTGCACTGTGTAAAAGATCAAATGAAATGTGAAGCTGACATTGTTTCTGGTCATCTGTCAAGATTTGAGGCACCATCTTTGTGGAAATTTTTCTCATTCCCAGATCATCCATAGTAATCTGCCGCAATGTTTCCTTATTCATATTCAATTCTTCTGCTATTAGTCTCACATTTAATCTTCGATCTGAGCACATCAAGGTCATTACACATTTGCATCTGTCCTTTGCATTTTTTGCTGCCCATTTCTTCAACCCCCTATGCCATTAAAAACACTTGATTTCTTCATAGCATATTCACCTTAAGCCACAATTAGTAGGGCTATCATTTCACTAGCATTTTTGCCAATCTTCACACAAAACTTGATATTCATCAATTGCTCCAGATTCATGTTACTCAGTTTTCTGCCAATAGTATACCACGGACACGTACTACTTCCTCTCCTGCTTGGAACAAATGACTCATTTGATCTGTGGCTCATATAAATGCAAGTTGGAACATGTCCAAATGTGCTTCGGTACATGAGTATGCCTGAGACAACACCCCAGCGACATGCTGCGGCCATTCTGGGAATTGTCACACTTTGTACACAGCGTCATAACCCACAATATCACAATCTTAATCTTAATCTTAAACAATGTGAAAACCCTAAGTCTCATGACATTGTTAATAGGTACACTAATATTTTAAGCAAGGAATCATGAAAATTATTGTGACATGACGCGTCCATTGCTAGACAATGGCTCAGTAGTCACGTTGCTGCTATAGTAAGAGCAGTAAACGTATCACTGTCTGGGTGACAAACACATTCAAGCAACAATGCATACATAACAGACTGTTACCACAGAAATGAAAACCAGAACCCTTGAACAACATTTCTTCTAGATTGTCTGACTGTCATATATAACAGAACAGAACTGAACAGAGGCGAACAGAGCATAGCTGAGAGCAGAAGAAACCAGCAGAGCTAAGAACTAAGGAAGAAACAGCAAAGACATGCCAACAAGAATAGCAGTGGAAGAGAGAATATCAGTTGAATACAGAATAGCAGAGTGATGATGAAATTGAAGAGACGACAAACTAATCAGGTTGCGTCGTGTGTATGATGTTATTTTTGAGTAATTGTAATCACCCTATCCAATAAAATGCTTCATCTAATCCAGAACCCATTAATTACTTGTTGCATTACCAGGATACGTGACATAATAACAGATTGCACTGCTCACGAACAGTACTCAGCTCTCTTCTCACCCATCACTGAATTGAACTGAAAACTGACTGAATACTTTGACTCAGAGACTTGTTAACAGACTACAATGATTAACTGAAAACCGACTACTATTCTAACTCACAGACTCATTAACAGACCATAATGATTAACTTGGCACTGACTGACTTGTGACTCACAACACACAATACTTCATTTCTGCTTCTGTAGTGTACTGTACTGCATTTGCTCTGAACAGTAATAAATGGAACATCAATGCAGCTAAGGAGAAAAGTGGGGGGAGTCAGACACAACTTGTTCAGGAACAATTATTTTTCATCATCTCAGTTCATCTTAGACCTAACATTTTGAGCTAAATCCTTGAAAGTGAGAATGGGGACATTAAATATAAGGTAAATGGAAGCATGGGGAGTGCTGTTTGTTAGATAGACTAGCGGGACATAAATCTTTCTCACCAACAAGCAAAATCCCTGCAGCAGGTCAATATGTGAGAGAAGGAAACGCACCAAAATCTCTGTACAATATCTGTTTTGTGTATTTTGTTGATACTGTCACATGTTATAGTACATGACCAGTTGGTTGAGGGGCTATGCTACAAGCTGGAAGGTCACGAGTTCAAGTCCCGATGAGGTCACTGGATTTTTTTCAATTGACCTAATCCTTCCAGCCACACTATGGCCCTGGGGTTGACTCAGCCTCTAACACAAATGAGTGCCAGGAATTAATTAAATAATTTTCCTGGGGAGTAAAGCACGGCCGGCGCGTAAGACTGACAACCTTACTGCCATCTTTGAGAAGATTGTCTAGATAATGTGGGACCCTCAACATCTCACAAACCTATGGGTCAGTTTCTATTTTGGCCAGCATGGCTTTCAGGAATTCCATGTTTTCCATTTTTTTTTTTCCAAATGCCACTGTAAAGTAAATCTTCCGTCCAACAAACACTTCAATCCGATCCATTCCCAGTTCTGACACCAGTTGCCACGTGTATCAGTGACTAAAGACAGGGTTTGGATTGGTAATTGGATTTATTGACCACTTACAGGTAGTAACTACAAATAATTATAACACTTAGGGATTACTATTATTATAATACAGATCATGCACAGAAATCACAGCCTCGGTAATACTGCTTGGCACAGACCACATATAAAACATTTCCACTGTATTGTTGCATGCTGGACTGTGTTTAAGGAGCCATTGCTCAGCGATGCGTTAATCAAATCTGTTTCAAAATTATGATAAATAGCTACACTTGGTTTGGAGACCAGCTAACATAACTGAGGTAGGGGCAAGGAAAAACAATCTAAAAGGATTTATCACCTGTGCGCGTGGAACTGGGCGGAGGAAGGGCCATGAGTCCTTATGATGCATGATGTCAGTAAGCAGATCTTGCAGTACAGCATTATTGAGTGGAAGATCCAAGTCCACTTCAAGAGAGCGACGTCCACTTCGTCTTGTGGGCTGTAGATCAGTGTCACTTTGCACGCTACTCGTATCTGTAGAGACATAAAAACTGTGCTTAGCATCCCTCTTTTACAGGGGATGAAATTAATTCAAAATTTTGATATGATTAACATTAAGTGGCACACAACAAGGAACTCTCCACCCTACTCTGGTAAGTGTAAATATGTAGCAGTGTGAATTTACCTGCGTCTTACAATGCCCTTACACAAGCTTGTTATGTTAAATACACCAACAGTTACAATAATTCTACCACCAGCAGTTAAGAGCACACATACTGAAAAAAGTAAAATTAATTTTAGAAACTTAAAGCAAGATGTTAAAAGTTACAGTTCAAAGGCCAAAGAAAGGGTGAACACAATTTTAACACTAATTATGGTTTCTGTGGTGACATTCAGCTTTCAGTGAATTTCACTACATGTAAAGCAGTGTGAAAGCCATCATTTTCAATCTCACAGAATCTAAACTGAATCTGCGTATAAAGAGCACTATCTTAGGGCTGTCATACCATGCAGTCCAACATAAGGACATTGAACTTCGGGTGAATGTACTACCTCCATCTTCAGGGTCAAAAAGTAAGCCAAGCAAGAAGCTGGTGGAGAGCAGAGCAGAAGGGAACTCACAGCCTGTATCACATCCTGGTGGCCATGATTAATGGTGGGTGACTACAGATGAGGTTATTGGATTTAATGACCACTTACAGGTCATACTACAAACAACTATAACACTTATGCTATTTCCACACTTTATAGTTCACTGCTACACACACTAGTGTCCTGAGTTTCCACTACCAGTTTCCTGGTAATGGATTTTAACACAAGAACTATAACAGTCTCACTGAATTACATACTCCAAATATCACTGTACTACAACACATGTAAAGTCTTCTCTTCACAGCCAACAGCAAAATGAACACCAAATGCCAAAGTCAAGGTCAAAGTTACTTTATGGCTGGTGGTTTACCACCCACCAGTTCATCTTGGCATCAAGCCCCTTGAGACCCACAACTAGAGATTTTTTCCAACTGAACCCTTGTGATCATAGTCCCTAGGTAACACCTTCTCTGATGAGAAGATGGGTTTCTCTTATGAATATGTTTGGCAACAAAGTTGAAGACACACTGTGACTGATGGTCGGTCAGTCGGTCTGTCGGTCGGCCAGTCAGTCTTGGTGCCAAACCCCACCTTGGGCTAATTACCAGATATTAGTTCCTGTTTGACAGTTACTGTCCCATCCTTGTGGGGCGCCCTTTCTGACGAGAGGACAGATCTGTTGTTTGACAGAGTCACAGTCAGCAATAACAAGTCAGTTGTCAGTATGTGCAATATATTTACATTTTTCATGTTATACACATGTATACAAAATATACACTAGGCCTCTGTCAGTCCAGGTTCAGTACAGCAGATCATGCCCTATCTTCAGTAACTCCCACTATAACGGCAGCATCGTTCCCAACAATTCCTTTACTGTTGCTTGCATATCCAATGCCCACTATTCCAGTCTTCAGGCATCATGTCACAGTATTCCTCATAGGCACCACTGTGAGAATTTCACATATACAACATAATTTGTATGCATAGGCACAGTGGGTCAAATCTGATACACAAGATTCACACTTTATAGACATTCCTAACACAATCATTTTTGCATTCAGGAGACCTGGTAGACAGTATGGGATAACAGTGACAAAGCCTACATTTAATTACAGATGAGATTAAATCATTTGTATACAACATATTAATAATAATAGGGATAGCGCACAATGTGCAAGTTTAGTCTTTACAGAATTGAGTTAACGATGTGGGTGTTTTGGCACACGCTAGCACATGGTATCATTCACACTTGTTTCCACACAATTTGCATACACACTGTTCTCCTATAACGTGATTTTGCACACTGCATATCCTGTGGTGGAAGCCATGAACAGCAGATCACGTCATCAGATGTCTAAGGGTGTAGTTTGCATGCATCCACATTTAACTAAGATTAAAATAAATCTTGCGACATATAAAAAATTCTAAAACAACAGCCAGTCTTAATAATGTTACAATACTCTGTAATTATTGCATTACTTTCCTAATGTACAGTAAAATCTTTCGGCACTTTGAACATGATTTGAAGCACAACACATGGCCACTATAAGGGCTACGTTACTATCTCCTTGTAGAAAGCATCCTGAATTGGTACATAATTAAAACTGATACTGCAAGAAAATTAATGATATCATTCCACACAAATAGCATTATGCATCTTTTCATTTATTTCAACTGCAAACAGACCATATCTGACTTCACCTAAACTTCAATTTTATATTACACCGAGATCTGCAATAAGAATAAGGATATGGTCATATTTACTAACTTTATGGAGCAGTCTCTGTGAGAAACTAGTAGTCACTCAGGTAGTCATGAAAATCCCCGCCTTTCATGGTATCTGAAGGTTCATGATTATGTTCACAAGAGTCTGGCATTGAATCCTAACCTCAGACAGGTAAATCAAATCTACTGGGATCTATCCATGCACAGGGTTTGAAAGTTCAACAAGGCAAAGAAAATTAATGGTGAAATTTACATGATGAAAGTTATCAGTTTCACTAGGCAGATATTCTAAAGAGCTGTACATTGTCTGGTATAACATAGGACATGTCTTATTCACTGGCAAAAAAAGAAAAAAAAAAAAAGTTGTGTGTGTTATGCACATTCATTGCTCTGAATGTTAACATTCTAAATCCAAATTTTTCCCATGAATGAACAAAGCAATGGAATGAGCTGATGAGCATAAGAACATACAGTAACACCCATTCATTGCAGCCACATTCCTGTACTGTGAGGTGTGAGTTCATTCATAAAACTTTCTATTATACATAACTTGACTTGGTATATGAAAAATCCATCTTAAGCACAAATGTTAGCTTCTGCTGTAATATGGTCTCCGGAGATTGGTATTACACCACAGCCTCTGTGTAGTGTAAATTTATGTAATTTCAAAATCCATTCCAATCTCAATACATAGCCAACCCTGGAGTCCCCCCTTCCCCAATTGTGAACAGAAGTTATCTACAGTTTCACGACACCTTAATGTGCTCTGCAAGGCATGAAATAACTGCTGTCACTAACATTACAAGTGTCTAACTGAATTTCATCGTTTAATTCGGAGTGAAAGAAATTCAATACTACTATAACCAGCCAAATCAACAAAACCTCCTGCTTGGGAGGCAGATGCTGAGGTGTAGATGGGTAATTCTGATGGATTAGTATTTCAAGGTAGACTACAATAATTATGAGAGTGGCTAGGCTAGGTAACTCAGCTTGTAAGGATTAAAACTAACAAAGCCATCAGCACCAGGATCTACTCCAACCAGCTGGACCCCTCTCAACCTGATTTACAATGACCAAAATTGCCTTATGCTCACATTTATGGCTCCAAACTCCATAAAAGAATTCCAAGCTCTGACACACATACTCACATACTTTGAGTCAATTAATAAAACAAACAAATTTAAACAAAATATTAAACATGCTTATAATTCTAGGCAACTACTCTACTAAAATGTGACTTACAATTTAGATACTGGTACCCTCTAATACAAAAATATGAATTATGTTCTACATTCTTTAAGCAATGAACTACATTTCACATTCAGTAAAAATCTGAAGTGTCTTTGAAATTAACTTACAACTTATATTTCCCTTTTGTACTTTCCTCATGCAAATAATAGAAATTGTAATAAAAATCTTCTCAGTTGCTAGTTGCTGACAATCTGGAGTCAAAATCTAATGTTTCGGACACCTTATCTGTTTCCATCATCAAGGATGGATATATTGGATAGACTTTGTTCATGTATATACATTATCCGGGCTCCACATTCCAGGTCCACCAATGACCTTTGAAGGATAGCCAGTGAAGTTAACTGTACACGTACATCCATATCACTGTTATGTAATCTGGAGAGTCAGATGAGAGTGACACATCTGGTGGCTCAATGTCTGCTGCTACACTCCTGTTGTACGTAGACTCATTTGAACCAGAATTATGTCTGTATATTGCTTAACCTGTTGGATCATTATTTGCTTATGGGTATTAGTAGGTTCTTCATAAGGAGGAATAAGAAAAAAACACATGTGGATGAAATTATAACTGGATGAAAATAAAAGTACCAGATATACAGGATTCACTCAAATGGAAACTATGTGAAGCTGTTTCCAAAATTTAATCAACAGGTGAAGGAGTGGAAGAGAAATGTAATGTACAACATAACTAGATATCCAGACCACACACAGAATATTATTGATAAAAGGAGGCAACTGAAGATTAAAATGAGTGGAATGTACAATATCTGTAAACAGAAGTAGGTGGAAAAAGAATACGCATCTCTGATATAATCTTTTTTGCTCAGAATTACCCCAGATATATCCTCCAGAAGTCATGAAACACCTCTGTAATAGAGACAGTATGTAATACAAGCCAGCGATTTTGCTACAGACCATGCACATAACACAGTAAAACACAAGACACAGATACCCAGGTCCAACCACATGTGTAAAAACATACACACAAAATACCACAAAACTCAACATACTGTTATCAATACAAGTTTCACACATAACACTCAGGAATCATACATCAAATTTCTCTTGATAACATGTGGTACACTCTAAGAAGAAATTTCTGGTTTCACTATAAGGCAAGCAAACTAGGAAGAAATTAAAATTAAGTATACTGACACAACAAAACCTGTACTTTTCACTCTCAAAGAACTAACCAAAGCAAATTTAAGGTAGAAATAAAGAAACTCCTTTTAAAGACAACTCACAACACTTACTATGCCAGTAAGCTGTTTCTGCTGATCCCACAATTTAAGACTGTAAGAGGGAGGTAAACGATCTTGTACTGCACGCTGTTTATCTACAGTTCATCCCCAACTTCTCTAGCAAAAAACAGTTTTGTTTCGTTGTTTAGAAAAATGCCCATTCAAATCATAACTCATGGCCCAGGTTTTCTCACAGTACTTTGATCTCCCTTACTAGTTCTCATTCCACTAACTGCTCTATATTTGCTGTCATCCCATCATCAATACTATATAGCCTCAATACTGACAGCATCATTAAATAACTTTAAAAAAATTTGTTCTATTTCCACACAATTATGTTTAGTGTTGACAGGGGAAGTTATATTCAAGATGCTAATAGGGCAGAAATCCTCATGTTAAGTCAGCTTACCTCATGTTAAAACTCAGCTTTTTTCAGACCACAAAATTCAAGTCAGCTGCAAATACAAATTCCATACAGAAAACAGTGTAAGTGGACATCACAAACAATCATTCTACTCATCACTATTACTTCCACCAAGAAGTCATGTTGTATTTGTAATGGGTCAGCACCAATCGAGTCAAACAGAGCATTCATTCAGTAACAGAACACACAGCTGGGAAAAGACACTTAAATGATTAAAACTTGTATTTAATATTTTTAAACATTGTATTATTTGTACTGAAGTATCACAATCAGGTTGACACATTCATACAGACCTCAGTGTTTAAAGCAGTTGTCAAAGCTACTGAGATCACTATCTGACAAAGATAGGGACCAGCTCTATCGATTGGGCCCAACTGAGTAGGCTTTACCTGAAGATGGGGACAGAATTCAGTATCTGAAATGTTGTTCTTAAATAGAAACAGAATGATGGATAATGTCCAGAAACATAATACTTGTGTCTTAATTCTCTTGTTCATAAAATTTGTGTATTCCACACCAAGAATGCTTTGTATCAAAGCTGCTAAACTATGTACATGCACATCCACCAATGCATGCATGGATACACACTCCCTTCAGCAAAATGGCACTGTAATTATTCTTTTAAGCCTGGACACATACCCCAAACAATACCATTGAAAGACATATAAGCAGGCTGTACATCAACACATTATACCATCTGCTCAGATTATCTCTGTTTAGCATGAATAATAAAATAATACTAAGCATGAACAATTATTTTATTCTAATCACTATACCACCAATTGACCAAAAAACTACCAAGCATGAATTAAAATGATTTACTGATGGAAATCATTTTTAAAAGAATACCAATCTCGCATGTACACAATTATTTTGCAGACACAAAAGCAGCAATCATTCACCACTTTGTGAGAAATTAAAGCAGCAGACAGTTTTTAAAGTCCACACAAGCCAACACTACTGGCACCTTTCATCTTGGTGAGTTTAAGAGGAGTGTGAGACAAACATTCGTGCCCGTTATAAGCTGCAGGATTTATCACATGCAAGCACAAAGAACAAGATAGAGGGACAAGTGCGTCTAGTAGCTTCACGAATACATCCAACAGAGAAATGGCATTTGCAGACTGTTTAAATGCTCAATATACAAAAATACGAACACACCATCCCAGGAATTACTCCGCAGACGTTTGGCAAACACGGAGATCTTAGCCACAGCTGCAGCGGCACTACAGCGGCGCAGCTTAATTGTCAGTTGCCTTGTGATGTCAGCCCCTCCATCTGCAGACCAATCAGAGGCCTTACAGATCTACTGACTACCAAATACTCAAAATGTATCACATTCAGTACTGGGAAATCATACAAAATACAAGTGTGTTGTTATGTCTTGGGCATAATGCACAAAATATATGGTGCTGAATTTCATGTTCATTTTACCATTATTAAGTATTAAGTACGAATCTACATTTATATTAGCTTTATCCTATACATATACATGTAGATATCTGGGTTACCTTCTGTTGATATTTTGATAGGCCTCTGCTCTAGAGTGCATTGTCCCATCTAGTTAACAAACACATTTTCATTTTCAGAAGAGCGTGTTTATAGAGAACCAAATGTAGTTCAGAATGGAAACCGCAAAATATATGGTGTAATCCCAACGTAGTATTCTTGCATGGTAAATATTTCTTTGGTCCCAGCCAAAGTCCAATATACATATATACTGTACATATTGTATTTTTTCCCATAACAGTAAAAGTAAAAATAAAGCTATCCCTGTAACAGGCCGTGAAGGCCCATAGTGTTGTGAGACGTTGAGGGTCCCACATTATCCAGACGATCGGCTCACAGATGGCGGTAAGTTTGTCAGCCTTACGTGCCAGTCGCGCTTTACTCCCCAGGAAAATTATTTAATTAATTCCTGATACTCATTTCTGTCAGAGGCTGAGTCGACCCTGGCTGGAAGGATTAGGTCAACTGAAAAAAATTCAATGACCTCATCGGGAGTTGAATCCGCGACGTTCCGGCTTGTAGCATAGTGCCTCAACCAACTATGCTACCGCGTGCCCCCATTTTTTTTTTATTTTCTTCCCCATACTAAGTGCGTTTTGATTCTGTAGATAACACACATTTACAGTAAGAAATCTCAACCTTCCAGAACTCTAACCATGATTTAGTGTAATTATGACTGAAACAATAATCATTATTCACATTTCTTCTCTACCAGAAATTCTTACCTTACAATAAGCTTTAAATTAAGTTAAATAAGAAACACGCATAGACAGAACTCTCCCAGTTGCATCACAGTTGCTGTGATTCTCGAATGAGATTCTTTCAAAGTTTATCACATTACTGCTACAGGAATTCATTTGAAATCATTATGTAATGTTACTTATTTGTAGAAAAATAGTTACTTAACCAATCATGTAAAGAAATTGTTTTATAATAATTTTATCCAGGAAGTCTCATAAGAAGGTAAACAATTTCTTCAAGCAATTTTGCATAGTTGCCATTCAGTGAAAACTTCGATATAGTGTTAACAAAATCTATTTCCCCCAAAATTCATTTAGTAGGGATTTCACTGTTATTTACACTAATACTCATAAAATAAAGTGGCTGGACTTCTGTACCAAAAGACCCAGGTTTGAGTATGGCTGGATCTCATACAGATTTTTCTGCATATATATACATGCCATTCCTCATCCTTGACGAAGACAAAAGTTTGCGAATGTGAGCAACATAGATTCCCATTTTGGCTTGGAGCCCATATTACAACACAAATTCCTAGCCCTCTTTACCATTTTCATCTACTACTATGGGTAGCAAAGTCCATCTTATATCTTAATTTAGAAATGCACTCCATCTAGATGGGCAGAGACTAGAGGACCTATACATCTGTAACTGGGGAAATTAGCCACAATGCTCATAAAAAACTAAACTAAAAGTTATGGTAAAATTTTCATTTTCTTCTTTTCTAAAATATGCAAAATGTTGCGGCGTGACGGGAGGGCGTGGAGGTACCTCCACCGCTTCCGCCACCGTACCTCTCTCTCTCTCTCTAGCTGCCGCTACACTTATCTCCTGCCGGGATGACGGAGGACGAGGAAATATCCCTCTCCGTCACCCTGATTAGTAGGCTGCCACCATCTTGTTATTTCAAGAAATCTCGTACTTATCTTAGCTTGCATTACTGTCTGGGGTAACCATAAATCGCCGAAGCTTTGGGACGTCCTGGAGTCGGAGGAAGAGGATAACACTCGTGGATACGTGAGGTTGAATGAAACTCGTCACATTCCTAGCCTATTCTATTTACCTACGTCTTTAAATACACTATATACACCGTGCCGACGTTTGTCGGTTCGACTTACATTAAAATAATCTTGCAGTGTCTCATCATGTCCACCACCTATCACCCTGCTGTCGGTATTCTATGCTTGGAATCACTGAATGACCTAGCCCATCTGATTAGCCTATCTCTCCCGGGTTACACTTTACACTTTACACTTTGCACTTAATGATCATGGCTATATGAAATGGTTCCACTTACTTGAGCTGAAGATGAGAAGGCTTGTCATCACGATCCAGCGTCCACTCATGGCCACAATTGAGGTACTAATGTAATAATGACATTAATAAGAATAGATCCGACTAGAATCGAATCGAATAGCCAAAAAAAGCTAAGAAGCTAAAAAGCTAAAAAGAGCCCCTAAAATGGGTCGTCTCGGGTTTTTATAACCTCTGCTATGCTGACTCGTTGTCTTCCGGGTATAGGGGTCCTCCTACCCTGACGTGATTTTGGGTCGGTGTAGCTTGATTATTGGTTGTCAATCGAGAAGGGGTTGACTCTTTTGGTAAGCCGCCTCCTCCTACTCAGCATTTTTCGTCTGCCTTAGTGCTTATGACACATTTCATATAGCCCTTCCGTATTGTCAGCGGTTCCCGCTGTCGTGTTAACATTCTGATTAGTCAGGAATTTCTTTTACTTCCTTGTAAACCCAGCTCTCCGGTTCATGTCCTTATTACTGTTCAGTTTTAGTTTAGTTTTTTTTCCCATCTTACATCTAATTGTAGTGATTCCAAATTTACCCAAAAAACTACATCTACATGTACATAACCTTAGCGGCAAAACCCCCCCCTCACAAAACGTGAGATATTTCCTGTAAGAGAAATATTACACTTGTTTTCTACTCATGCTACTACCAGTCCCTTCACCTACTTATCATCGTTATTACAACTATCATATATACTGATTACAACAATTTCCTTTATTGTCTATTATTGTTCTCTTTCTGTCCCCTGTATTCACTGTCACTTTGGTTGTGTTCATTCATTGGAACACTGTAGTCTCGGAAGGGGGTCCGAGGTCTCTGGTCTGCCTGTCTTCGGTCGCCATCTCACGGTCGGTCCCTCCTGTGGGTCCGTACTTCGGGTGGTCCGGGCTGTTGCCCTGGGTGCTGTCTGCTATGGCCCTCCCCCTAGCGCCGCGCGCTCGGAAGATGGGTAACGCTTGTCGGTGTCTCCATAGACACAGACCGAGTACTGTGGCTGCTGCTAGCGAACCGGTCACGATTCCGCTGCATATCCATCTCTGCGTCAGGAGCCTGGCCTCCACCTGCTGTCGTAGTTGAGTCATCGTCCTGGGGGTGGTGTCTGGAGTAGATCCGTCCTCCGGGTCTTCCCATACGTCCCATACATCTCCTAGCAGCCCTTGGTGCTGCTTCAAGTAGGTGACCTCCTCTGGGTGTAAGAGGTCCGGTGTCTGCGGTGCAACGATTCCTGGGCCGTCCCAATCGGCCGTGGACTGGAACTGCCGACTGGCTGGCAGCGTCAGCTGTCCGATGATCAGGTCACAGCCATCCGGCTGCGTGATGATGCCTGTGCCTTCTATGCCCGTTATGTTCATGGGGCATCGTTGAGAGCTTATACATCTGCATTCAACCCTTGTAAGCTTCCCCACCGCATATAGCCATGAATTTTCAAAAGGGTGTTTCCTAAACACTGGTCTAAAATTCTCTGACAATATTTCCCGCGAGCAAGACTCGTATCCCTGGCCTGTTCCGAAAAACAAACTACTCAAACAAGTCTCATAATTCCTCTCAATTATCGGAACTGTCCCTCGACATATAACGATATTTCCCTCTCTACAATTTTGAACATACCCTGGCGGTAAAATCATATAACTTCTTTTATCAGAGGACACTGCTAGTCTCTCCCTTCCTGTTTGTACCTGTACAAACTTGCCTAAATTTTGTTCGAATGAAGGTAACGGTATAGGTTCGTAAACAGTGTAGGTTCGCTGTTCGGTTCGTAAGGGTAGTTGGATAATGAGGCGAATTGCTTCGCTTGTAGCCAGTACTGCAACCTCCGAAGATGCATAAAACAAATGCATGTTCTCCGGTTTCAAGGCTGTTATGAACGAGTAGCCTTGTTCCAATTGTACGTAAATATCGCGCAAAATCGCGAATAATTTGTGCGAGGGCAGCAAACTGGCAGTCAATCGATGTAACGTTGCCATATCTAAGCTTAAAGCTAAGCTTGTTAAATCTGTATAAATTTTCATTATTAGTATTTCTAATTCCCTCGTGTAACTGGCTTTCCTTACGGAGTTAGTTATTTGGTCCCTTGTCTGGTTAATCTTCTGCTCGAGCGTGAGCTGCTCTCTAACCAGTTCCTCATGGTGTAACTTCATGGCTCGCACCATCTGAGCTAATGTTTTAGCGTTTGCCCTTACTCGCGAATCCATTTCGCGGCTAACTGTTACGTGTTCCGTGGCGTCATGTACTAATTCCCCTACTTTATTCCGCAAGGTTTCTATCCTGTCATTTAGTGGTCTCAAATCTTCACTAAGTGCTGCTCCGAAAAGAAATTTAAGTGCTTTCCCTCCTAGGCCAAACACTCCCCTGCGAACTCTCTGATCCCGTGGCAACATTTGGAGGACATTGTCTACCTTCTCCTGTAGCTCTCCTGCTACCTTGCTCACGTATCTAAGCTCCTGTCTTTGTACTAGGTCTCTTCCTACATTGACGGTGAGATACTCTAATTCTTTGATTAGTTCTCCTATTACTCTGGCGTGTTCCGTCACGCTAAAATCTACGGTAATGTGCCACACGGCTCCTTGCATTAAAATTTCTCGCTCTTGTAAAAATGCCATCCCCTTGTCCAATTTGAGCCCTACGGCTCCCTCGGTCTTGGCTTCCTCTCCACCTGTAAACAAACGGGGTACTTCAGTTTCTGTTACCTCTACCCTTGCTTCGGCTTCCGGCCGTCTTTATTCTTTATAA